TCTTATACTCCAACCCCCTTGAAATAAGTGCCAACATTCCATTAGTCTTCCTGATTACCTGCTGGGCCCATGTACTAGCTTTCTGTGTTTCATGCACAACTACCCTGAAATCCCATTGTGTGGCAGCTTTTTACAGGTTTTCTCCACTTAAATAATATTCTGTTCTTTTGTTCTCCTTTTGAAAATTACATCTCCACGTTTTCCGACATTATACTCCATTTGCCAACTTTTTGCCCATTTATTTAAGCTATCAATATCTCCCTATAAACGGTGTGTATTCCTCTTGCAACTTACCTTTTCACCTATTTTTGCATCATCTGCAAATTGGGCCACAGAACATTAGTTTCCTCCTTCCAAGTCATTAATATATTTTATAAACAGTTGCAGTCCCAGCACTGATCCCTGCGGAACCCCACTGGTTACAAGTTGCCAACCTGAAAAAGAACCCTTTATCCTCACTGACTGTTCCCTGCCCATTTGTCATTACTCTATCCATGCCAATATACCACCTCCGACAGCATGGGCTCGTACATTAAGTTAACCTTTTGTGAGGTACCTTGTTGAATGCCTTCTGGAAGCTGAAATACAACATCTACTAGTTCCCCTCCAGCCACTCTGACTGAGATTTCCTTGAAAAAAAATACTCAGACACAATTTTCCTTTCATGAAGCAATCCGGACAATGAGCAGATTATGATTTTCCAAATATGCTGCTATTACTGTCTTAATAATTGATTCCAACATTTCCCAACAACAGAGCCAAGTGACCATTGCACCATGGTACAGGAGGCCATTCAAGAGGGGGGAGTAAAAAGACAAGTGGTAGTTGTAGGGGATTCTATAATTAGGGGGACTGACAGCATCCTTTGCAAGCAGAATTGAGAGTCCCACATGGTGTGTTGGCTGCCCAGTGCGAGGGTGAGGGATACCTCTGACTGGCTTGAAAGAATATTGGAGAGGGAGGGCAAGGATCCAGTTGTTGTGGTCCACGTTGGGACAAACAACATAGGCAAGGCTAGGAAGGAGGACCTGTTTGGGGATTATCAAGCACTAGGAACGAAATTAAGAAACAGGCCCTCAAGGGTTATAATCTCTGGATCACTACCCAAACCACGTGCAAATTAGCATAGGGATAAGAAAATTTGGGAACTAAACAAATGGCTAAAAGGAGTGGTGTGGGAAAGGGGTGTTCCATTTCATGCAATATTGGCATTAGTTTTGGAACAGGAGGGATTTGTACTGTTGGGACAGTCTCCACCTGAACTGATCTGGAACCAGTGTTCCAGCGAAAAGGAAAAATAGCGTGGTCACTAGGACTTTAAACCAGTGAAATGTGGGGGAAGGGAAGGGAAAAACAACAAGAAAATATAATGATAAATAGAAAAGGAAACAGCAGGTTAACATTTATGCAGGAGGGTTTAACTACATCGAGGACTATGAAGGAAATTAAGAGGAAGAAAAACTCAGGAGATATTATTGATGGAGATGTTAAAATTCAAAAAAGTATAAAAACTAGCGTAAAGGTACTTTACCTAAATACTCATAGCATTTGAAACAAGGTAGATGAGTCAACAGCACTAATAATCACGAATGAGTATGATTTAATAGCCATTATGGAGACATGGTGGAGGATGGTCACGACTGGGAATTAAATATCCAGGGCTATCAGACGATTCGGAAGGACAGACAAGAAGGTAAAGGAGGTAGTGTTGCTCTGATATTTAAAGGATGACATCAGGGTGGTTGTGAGAGATGACATAGGTTCTATAGAGAATAAGGTTGAATCCATTTGGGTGGAAATTAGAATTTCTAAGAAGAAAAAGTCACTGATAGACGTAGTCCATAGGCCACCAAATAATGACATTGGGACAGGCAATAAACAAAGAAATGTAAACATGGTATGGCAATTATCGTGGGGGATTTTAATCTACTTGTCGATTGGTCAAACAAGGTTGGTCAAGGCAGCCTTGAGGAGGCGTTCATTGAATGTATCCACGATAGGTTTCTTGAACAGTATGCAATGGAACCGACAAGGGAGGAAGCTATCCTAGATCTGATCCTGTGCAATGAGACAGGAATAATTAATGATCTCATAGTTAGGGATCCTCTTGGAAGGAACGAACACAGTATGGTTGAATGTAGAATGCAGATGGAAAGTGAGAAGATAAAATCCAATACCAGGGTCCTGTGCTTAAACAAAGGAGACTACAATAGGATGAAGGAGGAGTTGGCTAAAGTAGACTAGAAGCAAAGATTCTATGGTGAGACAGTTGAGGAACAGTGGAGGACTTTCAAAGCAATTTTTCAAAGTGCTCAGCAGAAGCATATACCAGTGAAATGGAAGGACTGTAGGAAAAGGTGATCAGCCATAGACGTCTAAGGAAATAAGGGAGGCTAACAAATTGAAAGATAAGGCATACAAAGTGGCAAAGACGAGTGGAAAACGAGAAGACTGGGAAAATTTTAAAGGTCAACAGAAAGCCACAAAAAAGGCTATAAAGAAAAGTAAGATATAATCTGAGCTAGTTTAGTCTCATAATCTAAAGACAAGTAGTAAAAGTTTCTATAAATGTATAGATGAAAAACAGCAGCTAAGGTAAACACTGGTCCTTTAGAGGATGAGAAGGGAGATTTAATAACAGGAAATGAGGAAATAGCTGAGGCATTGAACAGATATTTTGTGTTGGTCTTCACAGTGGAGGAGACAAATAACTTGCCAGTAATTGATGACAAACAGACTAAGGTAAGTGAGGACCTAGACATGATCATTATCACGAAAGAGGTAGTGTTGGGCAAGCTAATGGAGCTAAAGGTAGACAAGTCTCCTGGCCCTGACAGAATGCATCCCAGGGTACTAAAAGAGATGGCAGGAGTAATAGCAAATGCACTCGTGGTAATTTTCCAAAATTTCCTGGACTCTGGGGCAGTTCCAGCAGATTGAACAGTGGCGTCACATTAGCTGTTTTCCAAAAAAGGAGGTAGATAAAAGATGGGGAATTATATCAGAGATAGTAGGAACTGCAGATGCTGGAAATTCTGAGATAACAAGGTGTAGAGCTGGATGAACACAGCAGGCCAAGCAGCATCATAGGAGCAGGAAGGCTGATGTTTTGGGCCTAGACTCTTCATCAGAAATGGGGGAGGGGAAGGGGGTTCTGAAATAAATAGGGAGAGAGGGGGAGGCGGATAGAAGATGGATAGAGGAGAAGATAGGTGGAGAGGAAATAGACACGTCAAAGAGGCGGGGATGGAGCCAGTAAAGGTGAGTGTAGGTGGGGA